TTAGTGACGATGTTCCGAAGTAAGAGTTTTAATGTTGTTTCGTGACGCCTATAGATTCACGAGACACAGGCAAAACCTCATTATCATATTCTTATGGATTTGAATACAAATAATATTTCAGCTCGTGCTGCCAACGTTCACCGGGGATGGGTGATGGCCGATTAAGGACTGCGACTAATTTTCTGCGATATTTGCGTCTCTTTGTTGATATAATGTATATTCTCCGCCTCGCGTTGAGAATGTCAGGGACCCAAGATCAAAATGGCCGCCGCGTCTTTGTGACCTATGATTTGTTTTTCAATGATAATAATATTAGCGGCAAAATCATTTACAGCAAAGATACTAACATGAAACTGTATTTCATTAATCTGTGTAATTTGTATTAAAAACTATTAGTACAGTCGACAGCTGAAAATGTTTAACACAACACACAAACAATTATTAACTAAAGACAACCATGACAAAATACTTATTTTCATTACATTTCATATACTTGAACTTATAAAAAAAATTTTTCCTTCAAATGTTAAATTAAAACGTTAAGAGCTTAAAAAAATTGTTATCAAAGCTCGGCGATAAATTTAATGTTGGCGAGTTTCTTCAAAAAGTTCTACTTTTATAGTATTGATTGTTCATAAGTTTTCCTTTATGGTATGATTTTTGCTCTCCATATACTATCTAAGATTCTTAGTACATTCCTGAGATAACAAGCGTATGTATCCAGGTCTTATATAAAATAGCAGCAGTCAATATGGCCAGTTATTAGGCATACAGCAGAGGGCTCGCTCACGCCGGAGCGATTTTCGTGCGAGTCAGGAACGATTTCCTTATTACACAGCCCGGAACCGTTCCCAGAGGTTATTTAAGACTAGGAGATTCGCATGCTTTGATTTTTTTAAAGATAAAGTCTTTTAAAAAATCAAAGCTTGCTGTACGTAACTGGCGCTTGTTGTACTTATAGAGATATGAACTATTGTATCCCATACTGTCTATAATTTACGCGATTAGTACATATTTAAACCGTTGAAGTGTTTTATTTAAATATTCTATCTCATTTATTTGTTTTGAACTCTTTTTCATACACCTCTAACGCAATGCTGAAGCGTTATTAAAAATTAATTAAGATCCATGGAATACAACATACAATTATAACTTTATTTTACTCGCAACAATGACAAAACACTTTGAAAGATTATACGGAAATTTTATAAATCAACAAAGTTTAACTTTTTACAATTTCAGCAGAGCGCTTGGGTTTGAATCCCAGTAACATTCATACAAAACTTTATACACAAATTTACTTCAATTTATGAAACAAACAGAAATGTGACTGCCGAGAAAACGAGACTTCATGTATTAAAAAGTTAAATGAATACGTTCAGAATTTAAACAGCTCCTAGACTATAACAACTAGGGATCTTTGTTGCGTTCACGCAATACCAGCTAGTTATCCTTACTTGATACGAGTTCAACGTACAACACTCCAGAGTATGTTTAAACGTTCGTTCCTACACTAAAATCTGACGACATAACAATTTCAGTATCGTGCATTTTGTCCTTGTTACCGTATCTGTTACAATCTCAATACAAAAATACTTTTTTTTTGTCAAATTAATATTTTCTCATTTAAAGAATAGCAACTATCGTAAGCAATTAATTTTAAAAGCTGGATATAAATTACTTATACTATTTGGTATAAATTCTAAATTTCTAAATTTAATAAATAAAACGTACTCAAACAAGTTTACCCCAAACAATAGCTCGTTTTACCTGCCTATACCCTTTGTGTATATCGCATAAATACACAATACATTTTTTTAATAGATAAAATTGTGTCATGTTGATTAGTGATATAGGTTGTCCCTAGATGGCGCTGAGAACAATATTAAATATAAGTAATTTTAAAAACCCACTAATACACTTTAATTACACTTTAAATGAACAAGTATCATAAGAATATGCATTAAAAAATAAATGATAGTATTTTTAAGATTAATAAATTAAAAGCATGATGCTATTGGATGGAACACACAGAATCGTGAATCGCGCAATTAAAGTTTCTCATGTCGCTACACACAAATACGTTACAAATAGCCATGTCTATCGGGAGTCCGTTTCTACACAGTAAAAAAGGTTATGACAATGGAGCCTTAAATCCACAGTTATAATACTGCGCCCTTGTGGTCGTCCAGGGGAAGATAGTGGCGTGTACGTGGGTTTCGGTGGTCCCCACAGTCGCACTATAGCAGTATCAAGGAGAGACCCGCTAAGGGTCAACTGAACCCGGTAGGGTCAATTTCAGATGAGTCCGAGTATTCATATTCGTACGAGGAAAATTTGTCCTCGACCACACTGCTGTAGAAAATATGACTTCCTCTTTTGTTATTTAAACTAAAAACCTTTGCAAATCAGAATATTATTATATTTAATCATTCAATTTTATATAGATATTAAAAAAAAACAATCAGGGGTGCTTAGTGAAAAGTGAAAAAAACAACCCCCACAACCCCCCCCCAAGAGGGCCCCCCGCGCCTATTTTAGGTTTGTCTATTCAGATATCCACAGACTGAAACAGAAACGCGATTAATCTTCACGGCTTTTATCTATATATAGTAATATGTATAATTTTATGATTTGTATCGACCTTCGGATGGCAAGAAAAACTGAATAGGTGTGTGTCTATCTATTTTTAATATTTTATTTGTACTATGTTGTTTAATGTAAATAAATCTGTGTGTAATTTGTAAAACATGGAATTTCGAAAATCCAGATTTCCAGACGAAGTCCAACATTTAAAAAATAAAATGTGGTATTCAAATAATATTTAACTAAGCTAGTCTTAGCAGTAACACTGATAACGGGTGATAAGATAATCGTTGCGTACGACACTACTGTATCAGCTGTTCTTTTGTTTTTGATAACAAAATACGTACGAGAACTAATTAACAATTATTATCAATACTAACAACTGGAGTGAGTGAGTATTGATAATATATAAACTATCGTATAAACTATTACAACCCATTTACAACAGAACTACGTAAGATGTAAGTGCAATTTATTTATTACTATTACAAACGTTCCATTACTACTATTAAATATCCAGTGCATTTAATGACAACATCTGTAGCGTCCATTAATTGCTGTAATTATTGCGAGCAGCACTCTTGGTTTTAACTTTTATCATGACAGCGCATAAAGCCATCTTCAAACTATATAATATATTAGAGTAATTATTTTTAAGCCACAGTAAGAAAATAACTGGAATCGTTAAGTATGCAACTATACATATTTAAAGAGCACAATTTTAACTGTTTAAAACGCAGAATATATTAGTGCAACAGCCGTGGTAGCAGACGTAGCGACTAAAGATGGAGATTGTCCGTAGTGTCAAAGTCATAATTGCTACACTAGCTTATTTTAAACAGTTACATGTGTTTTGTTTAAATGTGTACTACTTGCATAAACTACTGGTAATGTAAGTATAATATCAAAAGACTCTTCTAAGAATGAAGAAGAAGGTTAACACAATTTTCTTGACATTGTTTAATCCTTACGAAGCATTGAATACTTCCTTTGTGACACTATACTTAAGTTTCTTAGAAGCTAGAGCTATCAAAAGCTTCTAATCCTAACTCTCCTACGTGGGGACAGCCACATATTTGTGTCTGCGTGATTGATTAATTTTATAGGTTGATCCGATTTGCGATCCGACTTTCCTTATTTTACTTAACCTTTTAACCCGTATATAAGTGTGTATGCATATATTATATTAACGTGTCTGACAGGAGCCTAATGCTTCAATTTACGCGATACGCGACTGTCACGTCGGATGCGGCCACGTTCCATGTATCGATTTTACGCGCGTTTGCAGTTTACGCAGGAATACGCGTTACGCCAATTGAAACATTGGCAGCTACGCGGCGAACACGAACTGTGAACGACACGTCCCTAATGCAATTTCATTCTTACACCGCTATGCACAACTTTCAATATAAGTGTTTTGTAAAAGTATGACAAAGAACAATGGCCAAATTAATATATATATAATAATATTTCTCGGGCTGTGTACCGACGTAAGCGAGAAGAGGTACTCGACGTTACGCCATTATGAGCGGACGGCATCATCAGATGTTGTTCTCGATTGCTCGAAGAATTAGAACGTCGAGAACCTCTACTCGCTCACGTCGGCTGAACAGCCCGAAATACAATAATATGCTGAAGGATGGCCGTGAAAGCCTTACACAATTTATAACATGATTAATTGTGTAAGCCTTTGTTTAAGGGTTTGATTTACTTTGATGTATTGAATACCACCCTATACAAAATCATTATTTAAAAACCTACATAATTTGATATCGTCAATAGTTTTGAGGTTAGAATCATAAATAAGTTTTATAACATATGTGTCAACTGTAGAACTGAGCATATTAACTTATTCACGCTTACTTTTTACTTTTCTTTTTTAAAAAATACTTTCTTAACAAACAGATTAAAAAAATAAATTATTCGAAAGAAAAACCCATAACTTTTTTTCCAGACTTTATTATGAGTAATAATATTTTTTCCTAGAAAAAAAAAATACGGATTTTTTTTAACCCAGATAAGCCTGAAACTAAAATTTTCTGAAAATTTTGAAAAAAGTTACATTATTTAGTTTATTAGATCTTATGCAACATAAAAAAAAATAATGAAAAAAAAAATAAGTGTAAGGCTTTCAGGGAAACAGCCGTCCTATATGTAGGACAGTAGGATAATAAGAGGAAATAAAAGACCATTTATGACAAAACAGAATGTAATCAAAAAGTGTAGTTTATTAGATAACTATTGATTATATTACCCATTGCTATATGTAATTTACTAGATTAACACTATTTATGAATGATATGTTTCAAAACTTTTGACACACACTCCAACATCACATTTCTTGCAACGTGTCAAACATTTTTTGTGACATTGACGACAGTGTGTTTGCTTCGATTGAGGAATAACCAGATGATTCACCAACAGATAGCACCAACCCAAGCTTTGAACCCGTACCTAATAGGTTTACCTTTTATGTGCTGTTTGCAGCCATGTCTACCATAGTAGGGGATCATGGCCTCATCTACACTGTAATGCTCTTCAAGAGGAGAAAACTCTAAGAACTTTTTATTTAGAAGTGTAACTAGGGGGCGTACTTTTGTGTATTTGTCTTGCAAATCCAGATTATCATTGACATGAAGGTGGCGTAAAATAAAGTCAAATCTATCCCTAGTCATAGCCGAGCTGATCAATTCATTCTTTGTATCAGGGGAGTTTTCCCAATACATTCTTATACGGGGGAGCCATGAATAACCACTAACCAACAATATGCCGATGAAACATTTCATATCTTCAGTGGTTATGTCTCCAGGCAAATTCTTTTTGACAGCATATTTATTGCTCTCTGACACCAACAACGAAATAAAATCTTCATCTAAGAAGTTTTCAAACGACTCAATTGGGCGCTTATCTTGGCAAGCGCCTTGAACGTCTGGCCAATTCACGGGATTTTTTGCAAAGTCCCGTTTTCTCCATGCGTAGGTACGCCTACGTTTAGTTCGACCTGTAGAATCAGAAGGTTCTTCTTCTGTATCACTCACCATAATCTGCCCTTGAATCATTACTTCAGCCGGTTGAAGCAGAATGTTTCGTGGCAAATTATTCAAAGTTACATTATCTTCTTCATCCGAATCTTCGTCAGTGAGACAGTCAGGATCAACAGGAGGAGGTAGAATACATATCAGTCGTTCTCTATAATCTTCTTCATTATCAGAAACATTTTCTAAAGCATCTAAAATTTCTTGCGCAGCTAACGGTCTGTAAAGAAAAAGTTGTATTATTGTACTAAAATCATGTATATTATCCTACTGTCCTATATATAGTACGCTAGTATTTGTAACAAGTTATACGTAATTTATTTATATTATTTTGCAAGAATATTTATTTAGTACAAAAGTTAAGGTTATCAACTAGATATAACCACAGAAAAAAACAACTCACGAGTAAAATATAACTTTTTATACATACCTGTCATTTGCCATGTCTGCAACGCACTTTTATTACACACTTTAAAGGTAAAATATAAGGTAAAAACTGTTAAAATAACTGTCTTTTTATTTTTTCTAATAAAGCTGACAAGTTTCTTACTGCATATCATAAGACTAAATAATCTTAGATAAAGAGGGTATTCTGATATTTTTTTTTATTTCTACTGTCCTACATAAAGGACAGTAGGCTTATCTGGGTTAAATATAACACATATCTGATTGTTGTCAGCTAGGATTTGGGCATTGTTCTTTTTCGGTTCGCGGTAGGTGTATTAACTTACAAGGTATACCATTTTAAGAAATCGGATTTTACTAATATTTTATACAGAAAACGTAAAAGGGATCCTAAGTTTGATTTAGTGCTTTGTTGAGTTACGAAGACGTCAGAAAAGTCCTCGGGACTTTTTATTATACGTCTCTAACGCAATGGTCGTTTCACATGCAATCGTGTCTTCTTATTACACCCCCTTTTTGTTCTTATCTCCTAGTGACTAGTAACTACTACTACAATTAGTTAGATTTGTAATAATGTATTAATGTTGTTTAAATAACGGACTATGTCGGGCCGTAGTTAAAATTAATTGTAATAAGTTAAGTAATATATTTCGCGTTTTAAACACTTGAAAGTATTTTATTGCCATGTGTACTATTCGAATAAACAGACAGAACAGACAGACTAGCGGTTTAGTCTACTATTAGAGATGTAGGATGTCTCGATCAAATTAATATTGACATTTTTTGTGTTACGCTTACTATGTAAATATTTTGCGTTTGTGTTAAACATTTTTTGTCGTTTGTGAATCACTGAAACTCTAAGTCTAATTTGGTATATTATTTTAGAATTAATTATTTAGTAGACACCTAGACTCGTACACTACACTCACACTCGTCGCACACACGCGAAAAAACAATAAATACCCACAGAAATAAGACTGAAAAAAAAATATATTACCAAACCCGTTGTGTCAGCTGGCAAATTCAAAGTTTAGAGTTGTTAATATTACAAAAAAGAGAAGACTTACAACAATTTCGATAACATTTCTACATTATTTAAAATAAAGCCTATTAGAAGTTAGAAACAAAAAGCGACTGATAAGTAGTGCGCAGCCAATCTTATGTAGATAGATAGAGCCTATATATAGAGCTGAAGAGTTTGTTTGTATGTTCGAACGCGCTAATCTTACTAACTACTGGTTCAAACTGATTTTTTTATTGTGTTGGTTAGAGCACTTTAGAGCATTTATCGAGAAAGGCTGTAAAAGATCATGCTGCGACTATTAAGAGCGAAGAAAACGTGGGAGATGTTGAGAAAACGGGAGAAATACTCTTCTTTTAGGGGGTTCGTTGTATGCGCTGTGAAAAACATTAAAGATAGTATACAAGAGAAATTCCTTATTAAATATTGTTAAAAAAATCCGCGACACCTATATGTCTATCAAGAACGACGGTACGCAAACGACGACTTGAGAAACAGCTTTAATTTACAAAGATGAGTAGGTTTGCCAAAACATATTTTGATGCCTAAAATATAGTTATTTATATAATATCTACGTCGACGAAGTCGCTGGATATTCTATAGCTAGTTGTATACAGAATCTATTTCACAGATATAGTACTCGTACAATTCATATCAAGATAATAAAATAACGGTTCTGTCATGTCTAAACACTATAATTAGGCATAAATTTTACGCACAACACGACTAACATTAAGCAGTCGATGTCAATTCTCCTAATTGACTTCAGTTTCCTCACACAACAGTTAAAGGTGCTTATTTAAGAATTTTATTGGACACGATAGTGTCACTAATAGGCTGTTACGAAAATCGGGACAACGCAATGATAGCGAGTAAGACGATGTTGACGACGATAAAAAAGTGGTGTTAACAATAATTAGAAGCTCTTTCATTCCCACGTGCACAAAATCTACTGTACACAGCGTGTCCAAGTATCAAATCCTTTACCATTTCACCGAATTTATGCCAGATTTGAGAATTTGTAGGACGTCAACTCTTATTTAAGTTTGTAGAATAAGTTTTAATTGTCGTTTGTGTGTTGTTTCTCAAAAGTATATCTATTCTTTTCATGCTATTCTATATCTGTTTTGTTTCTTTGAGCTGTTAAATATTTTTACATGACACATGGTAACAATATACCAATTAAACATTAATTTGAGATTGAAAAAATTTTGGCCCGGGGGGGATCCCACCCGGCTTTAAAACGGTCCGTGCTGCTCTTTCCAATTGAGCTTCCATGACTATTGATCTTCTTAAACTACAAAGCATAAGACATTAAACTTTGATTGTTTCTGTTAAGGTCGAAATTAAATTGCGCACACAATTACATACACGTAACATAATTACAGTATCAATAGATTGAAAACAATTAAACGATGACGTGTAGGTATGGTAGCTCATTGTTTAATGCAACAGCATGCAACACTGTGGATGCCGGTTCGAGCCCGGCCTATAACGGATTTTATCTCAATCCAATACAGTTTTTAATTTGTTATCAATTAAACGCTTTCTTACGACTCGTTTCGTCCAGGTTTTAAACTAAAGAACTCTCTCAAGACGCAATTAACAATTGTACTATGAAGACAGCCAACTAAGTACTGGTACGATTAATTTCTGTAACAAGTGAGAAGAGATAAAAACTTCAGAATTTAAAACACTGTCGACAAAGCGGTTTGCTCTTAAATTTGCATTTTTATACAAACGTTGTCAAGTATGTATTTTGTACGTACCTACACATAAAAACACAAGAGAACATATTTTGGAATCAAACTTTTAACAAATTATATAGGCCAGGAGTAAATTATACAATTTCTGTAAAATATGATAATAACAATACTTCCAAGATTGATTAGCGAATTATAATATAGTTTTAAGTTATAGAAATAAATACCTACGACATATCTATTTAAATAAACGAAGTGCCTAAAAGGTTTAGCGAGGTTCAAATTCCGGTAAAATAATAATAGTTACGTTTATTCTGGATGCAGGGGTTTTATAAATAGAGTACTTGGTTTCGAAAAAAATGATGAAGAGACAATTGCATTGCGATTAGGAACGAATTAATATCTGATGATAAAATGTCCCCGAAACTCTATGGGGGGGTCGAAATTTATTTATTTACCGACTTTATCGATTCTCAAACAAATCAAACTTAGGACCGTTCCTATATTTTTGTATTATAAAGGATGACATACAAGCATGATTGAATTGATTAGATAATTGGATCCAGACGTGATGAATAGCCATACACTGCTAATAGATATGGACTGCATACACCATACAAGACCATGTTTACCATTTATCGCGAATCATCATATATTAATGATTGCCGACCTATAGAGTTTGAGCAATTTCTTATTTTCGTCATAAAAGGTACAGAATCGTGATAGATTTGTAATATTTAAAAAAGAAACACTGAGTTCTTTTAAACAGTTCTTCATATAACATACAAATTAAGGACGTGGGTTATACGGTAAATGTGCAACCGTACAAGCAAAAATCTATGTTATTATTTATTATTGTTCCAACGCAGTTAAAGGAATCAACGCGATACAAAAACCTGTTCTTATTACACAACGTATATCACATAATCTCTATCAACCCTAGTTACCAAACAACGGATCAATTTAGGTTCGGCAAACACTGTCCATTACAAAGTTTCACCTCTGCTAATGGTGTCAGAGTAGATCAGTAACACATCCGTGATAGTTTCGCTGCGACATTTAACTTTGCCCTCGTCAACTCTACCTCCAGTGCACGGTTGGCTTATTGAGTAAGTACTGGGTAAGTAAGAACTATGATTTGGAAACTAGACTACCGCCGCGTAAGTTGAGATAAGAAGTCGTCGCGTTCCAGGATTCAGAGTAGACAAGAACGTGAAATATCAGTCCTGCAACATCACAAAACATGCGCTGTCGTCCTATCTTTAATAATTAGCAGATTTTCAGACGATGCTTAACATGATTATAAAAATTAGAAAATGATTAGAAGATCATGTTATGGTTTAAATAAAACGAATTTAACGTCTCTTAATGCGAAGTATATTAGTTAACATTTTTTATATAGTTTTATTTCTTTTATATTAACGACCCAAAAACGTAGAGCTGACAGACAAGACGAGTTTAACGCCATAAAGGTTTTAATTAACACGTGAATATTGCAATTATTTTGGTATTTAACTTACCGTAACAAAACCACTACTAAATGATAGGAAGGTTAAGATAATATTCTCTATTCCTATCGGGATCGATCTGTGTTCACTAGAAAGTAAAAAACCGACAACATACAGGCTAACATGACCCTCATTTATTTGAACTTTAGCACAGCCGTTAGACTAACAAAGAATTCCTTAATAGAGTAAAAAATGGGGCTAATTGAAACATTACTACTTATTTACACCAATAGAAGTACGTGAAAAGCTGAGAACATCCTGGATCGTCACACTCTTTGCTTTTTCCTCATCAAACGAGCAAGGTAGACCATTGTGATTGCAACGCGCCTCGTATTCAATCAAAGGAAGTAAAAAATCTTATAAAAACTGAACTCGTCCAAGCTTCACGATTTGGGTGACAAATGTTAAGACGTGTGGACACTGGAAGCTATAAAATTATCCGGAAGTTATGGCAGTCAATAGAACTAAGTACTTGGATTGTAAGTGATTAAAAAATCGAAAATACATTGAAAAAAATTTTCGACTTGGGCAGGACTTGAACCGGCATTGTCAGCGTTACGGGCTGTTGCTCCACCAATTGAGCTATCTACACCTCCATCTAAATGATTGTTTTGTTACGTAAAAGTACCCTGAAAAATTAGCGCGTTCAAGCAAACAAACTCTTCAGCTTTATATATGAGTATAGATTATTTTAATTTTTTTTATATAGTTAACTTGACTGTGCTAACATTTTTGTTATACTTTGTTTTATGTTTAAAAACATAAAGCATAGCTTTACGCGGATGTAAGTCCGTTTAAAAATAGCAT